AAATATTTATCCAACTGTATAAATTTTAAAATATGAATGAAATCATCTTAATTTTGTGGACTTCAGTCAATGATTTAATTAACATTAAGTTTACGCAATCTATATCTAAACTATGCCAGGCTGCTCAATTCATCCACAAGTATGTGCGATGGGACCCATCGTAAGAAAGTAATATTTGTGCTGAACGCCGGGTAAATTGATAATAAAAATAGGAGAAGTGATTATATAAAGAAATTTTAAACTCTTATTGACAATTAAGCCCAAGCAACGTCGGTGTTAACCTAGCTACTATAAACAATTAATATATGATATTATATTGCTAAATCCCTCCTACAGTTGCGACAATCCCTATTTATCCAATGAATTCCGTGCTTATCGAAACAATCAAACTAGTAACATTTCACCTTCAATTTTTTCGGCAAAATAAATCAAGTTTAACACATCCAGCTACTTAAATAACTTTTATTAAAATTAGAATCCAGATTAATCCCAAATTAAAAGCTACATGACGCACGATACTCACTCTTCCGACTCCACCCAGTCCGATGAGCCGTGACCGGTCGGGGAGGCCTGGCTGACGGAGGACGGGTCGTCTGGGGTGAAGTTGCTGTTGTCCATCGAGTGGATGCGGTGGCTCCGCGATCATATATTATTCAACTTTATGCACTCATAATTTCTTTGAAATTAATTGAAATTCACAACTCAAGAAAATAATCATTTGCTTACTTTGTTATACATTGAATGCATATTCAAGTTAGAAATATACTTTTCTCTGAAAAATCAGAACACCGAAACATATATTAAGTAATATAATAACTTGAACTTTCACCGCAAAAACTGTTGTGTTGTTGTATACGTGACTAAATATTTAATTTAGAAGATGTTAACAAACTTACAGGCCAACACGAGCACCAACGCACCTTGCCTGCTTTCTGTCACGGAATGTTAACAGCGAGTCTCACAGGAGGCGCACTCGGTTTTGAACACGATATCTGTCTTTATTATTCGGTCTAAATACTCCTTCAAAGCATTTTAATATTTTCCATAACAATAATTATGTCATTCCCTCTTACCCACTTAACACCATTGATCAATTAACATCAGGCGTAATCTATTGAGCGATTTCTTATAAAATATTGTATACCAAAAAACTAAAGCGAGTCTGAGTGCACGAGTTCTCTATCGCCCGAAGCAAGTGTTCTGTCCAACTAACACTTGCGGGACTCGGGGCTGAGCGGTTTACTGATGAGCTCACTCAGGTGTGCTGGTTCACGTTCATCAACAACGTACACGAGTTCACGAAACAGTAATCACCTCATTCGGGTCGTAAAATACAGTGAAATAATCATTCAATGCTAACGAAAACTTTAAAACTGGATATTTATTTGGTTACAAATTGATACTTATAATTCAATTGAGAAATTACCAGTCACCGCAGCAATAATAAGCGTACACAGCACTATAGTATGTCACGAACTGACATGTGTTGGCGAAGCCCACGTGTTTTGTTGGGTGTACCAGAGTGACGATGTACATACGTTCGCTGGTGACTAATACTATACTTGGAATAAGCAGCGCTTGGAAACATACTTAGAACTTGTTCGTTGAAAAGGGAAACTGGTATGCGCGTGGTGAACATATGTGGTACAGGTATATATAGTTTCCGGTTGTGGCACAGGTCGACACACTAAGACCGAACTTCATCAAAACACCAAGATAAACTTACGATATCTGTACAGGATATGCCTAAGTATACAATAGTGTCTTTCACCAACGAATATGCACTGCTTTAGAAATAATAGATTTTTTTATAAATGACCATGTGAATGACGATTTATAAAAGAGTCATCTAGAGTTTAGCTCGCTTTTTTTCGTGGCCGCATATTCCGCATAGCTGGGGTGAGAACTATGAATAGGAACAATTGAGTTTATAACAATGATGCGCATTACATTAGATATGAAGTATGGTAAATTAAGCTGTATGTCATCTAGTGTAATGTGTGAACTATTTGATCATAAGATGAGCCTTTTGGTGTATCTCTAGGAAGCAATCCAGCTATTTCAGTGGAATGTTCATTCTATTTCACATTTCTATTTCAAACACGATAAAATGACATGTATTTTACATACTTGGGTTTTTAACGTGCCAGGTATTCACTAAAATTATTCAAGGTATAGGAAATAATACTGAAAATATGTAGCGTTTTTAAATCCAGGCACATTTTTGAGCAATAACTAATACAGATGGAATTAAGTATCATGTGGGCAGGCACAGGCAAAGTCACAGGCAAAAATTAAGTGTGGTCGAAGACCCAAACGATCACCATGCGAAACCTGATCATCAGGAATGAAAAGCGATAAATTACATTGTGCCATAGTTCACCTCTAATGATATCACATTGCACTCGCTCATAACTACATTTTATTTATTTATTGAAGAAAAGTGGTTACTCCGATGGCTCGAGGAAAAGCTCCTCCCTGAATTAAAAAAAAGTTATATATACGATCATGCATGCATAATTTATTGAAGAAAAGTGAAGAGACACATTGAACGAAAGAGACACAAAACTCGTAGCTCAATGATTAGTTAAACTAATGTTACATTTTGTAATGTTTCTTGTAGAATGACAAGGGTAGATCTTCATTGCATACAAATACAAGAAAATCGTAATTAAGTCAAAGTAGAGAAAATTTCCCGGATGCAAACAAAGGTTCGCCCATAAGTGATTAGTCGCAACTGAGAAATACTCGGAAGACGGCGTCAACCATTGATTAATTCAACTCTATACCAATCTTAAAATCTCGAAAAAAATTAAGATACCGGTTAACGAAAATAGCACTGTCGACGCTTATCACGGGCAGTAACGTCCGTTTTTGCACGTGTTGAACACAAGACATTTGCGCTCAGCTGGATTTGGAAGAAATAAGCGAAGAAGTTCAGATAAAAATTGTTGTAACGATCAACAAATTAATGCACCCTTTACCCACGGTAATGTTACTCAACTCTCTATTTCAATATTAAATAAACGGCGTATTGATGGTATTTTAATTCGGCTGGTGTCCAAGATTCATTAATTGACGGCTTGCGCCGTGTATATATGATATGATATTATTTGTGATAATATTCGGCATCATATATGCTGGAGAAAGAGGAACATTCTCACTAATCGTGTGCAATTAAACACCGTAAGCCGTGTTTATTTTCAATAGCTGATATTACTAATGCAAGTTGCGGTATTGATGAATGTAAGGCAGCGTAGACGCATTCGCCTTGCGCAAGTTCACGCTGTGACTGCCTATCATGATACGCCCCCTCGGTGTATCTGTGTGCATGCGTGTGACTGATGTGCGTACAAACGCACATACTATGACGAATGCAAGTAAAAGCGTCAAGATGAAAAAGATTTTAATACAGTAAGTGTATGACGGAATTTTCAAGAAGTTTAATTAACTCTTTGTAATTTGGTAATTTTGTAATAGCAATTGAAACACATCAGATTGTTCAAACACTTTTTATACGATATAAGATTTATTTTCTATTTATTATCGTGCATATAAACATAATATTTGAGAATATATCAAAATATTGTGATATGAATGACTGATTAGAAACGTGTAAAGTGATATACAATACAAGATAATAGTGTTTGGCGTTAATTGTAGAATTATGCAAATGTAAGTGAAGCATAGCTATTTAAAGGAAAAATGTGAAGAAATGTCACTAAATAGATTGCCTCGTGGATAGAGCACCGAAAACTTTTTTTTACCCTGTACGTTACGTTTCACGGGTCGCATGTAAAAATTCGACCTTTAATTGCTCTTTGGAGCTTATGATGAATAAATTTATTTGTCCGAAGACTCTTATCCAGCAATAAAATAATATCAATATTTTGTTAAAATTGGTGATCATCTTATTAATGAGAAGTGAACCGCCTGTTTATCGGCCTACGTAATGCGCGGCGCTCAGTCATGCATTTAAGACAGACACTTTTCTTACCCTTATAGTAGAATCAAAGATTTCTTAAAAAATTTTACTCCTATTGTCCACCTTTTTGAGGTCGTTATCACTACATAAGTATGAATTAAAAATCTTCATGAGCATAGGAAAAACATTGGAAGCTATTACAATGTCTTTCTAACGGTTCGTTGTGCATGAGTGAGTTATTCAAGTTATTTCCCACTGTTGACGACAAATTTTATCCTTGAACGTGCCGGATTAGCGAATTTTAAACATATGTTTAGGCATTCAGCCAGATTTATGTTGATATTTATGAATATCTTCAAAGTAAGTCGGAGAACGTGACCGATTAGCAAAGATTGAACGCTACTTGTTTTGTTCAACGTCTGGTCACACGTCACTAAGGCACGAGCGTGAGAAGACTGCAGGCGGTGGAGCTGGCATATAGGCATACAGGATGGAATAATTTGACAGGCACGCAAATTTAATAAGGGTGGATCCCTGTCGTAAATGAGAAGTGACATTTACTTAAGCAATACTTCAGTTTATGATTACTGAATAGCGATTATATACCAACGAAAACATTTGATTAGAGAACGTATGTTCATTCATGTGCAAATGATAGTTGACTGTGTATAGCTAACAATCGTCTCACACCTGAGAAAGTTTGTTAAACAACATTATGAGAATTTTTTATTTTCCGAAATATGCACAGCATTCTAATGTAGAAAAGTTAGATAATGTATCTTAAGATTATTTTTCATCATTTGAGAATAAAGAAAAATTTTATCTTGCAAAAATACATTGAAAACTCGGTAGAAGCCAGATCATTCAGACTCTCCCGAATCCAGACCACAAAATATTTTGCTCCACATAGCATGTGAAGCCATCAGGTGCGGCGAAGTCAATCAGAGAAAAATTTAAGTCTCACTGCCTAAAGCAGAGCTTTGTTTTCCCGCTCATTGAAAGGTCAGTAAACTGCCTTCCCTTATATAAAGGAGAGAGCACGTCAAATGTTATCAGGAAAGGATGGTTTTGAGGTATGCGTTAACTTGAGAGATAGTTATTATGATCGTCTTTCCGTAAGATCGAAGCATAGGTTTTATTCGTAGAACCTATCGCACTCTCTGGAGCAATGAACGTGGCTGGTCTGCTGTTCGTCTTCTCGCTGCTTGCCGGTAAAGCTAACAAGTTAAGATATTTGTGCAATGTACACTAATATTTATTAAATACAATAATAGTTACTTTGCTCGAAACGAATTGATGAATAATGTTATCATATAACTTGAGAAATTGCTAAAATATTCGGCAGATTTGTTGTACAAAATTCGCGTATATATACGTATTAACACTTAATATTTACATAACTCCCTAACAACGCAACGTAAAGTTCTACTATAATTCAGTTACGAACTTAGTAATCAATTCAATATATCATGCAGAAGTAGTTATGTAGCTGATTAATTAGCAGTATTACTTTAGTATGGAAATAATAGGTTTTTAAGAAGGATGTTCACAAGTTAACTTTTTTAAAGGCTGAGGTTCGACCGTACGATCCGCACTGCAATGCGTATTCAGCAACAACACGTAATAAGAGACTCGGCTCAACATTCGCTGTTCATTATCGGTTTAGATATCTCGGAACTCCCCCTATTCTGTTGCAGCGTCGCTGTCATAAACAAACGACGGCAACTACGGGAGAATTGTTGATAGTTGCTGCTTGAAATCAAAAAATTTTCTGACTAATTCCGTAGTAATTCCTTTTTTGTTGGTCCGTAGCAAATTTACGCTAGAGTTACATTAACAGATTCTTCTTACCATTTTGCTCAGAATTTGATCGAAAATATGCTCACTCAGTTGACTTTCTACCTCTTTTCGATTATTGGAGATTTAGACTTGATATTACTTCTAGAGGAGTTCAGCCTGAATCTTATGTAGGTACTTACCATTATATCAAAAACTCGGATTGTAAAAACTCGATAAAACTCGGAGCGGAAATATTTTTGAAAATATTATTTTCATCCGAATGAAAATGAACAACTAAAATGTTTGTATAATTTTTTGCAAGTTAAGACAAAATTGTTTGTGCTGACGATTGCAAATCATCGTGATTCATATATAAATATAAAATATATCTTTTTTTATCCTTTGCCTCCGGTGCTGAAATATTCTGTTTGAATTTAAATTATTTAGCTTAAAATTTCAAATAATTCCATTCACAAATGGAAACTTTTTAGAATCTTTGATGCATACGAAACTCACTGATTTAATTTTCGAGTTTTGACTTCCGGCAAACGATCTAAATTTATATATTGGTTATTGTTTCATTTAAAGTGGAAGGGCAACTTCCACTTCAATGGATATTGTCATTCCACTCACAACTTTGGAAAGTACCAACTTCCACTTCCAAAGCAGAATTTCCATTTCACTTTGTCCTTCCACTACAACTTTATCACAGAAATACACGACGAAAGCTAATAAAATCTAATAGAAGAAAAATTATTTCGACGTTCAGGAGCGTTCGGCAATGGCACAGACCCCAGTGTTCCGCCATACTGGGACCTGCTGCTCAAGAGTCCTCACACATTCCGGTGAGAATAAATATATTGTGCAGATATCTTACATTGTTCATAATTTGCACTTTCAAAATGTTCTAAATTATTATACAAGTTCAATTATGACGCTTCACGAGACCCAGTTATATTATATAATAATATAGAAAAATTCCTCATATTTTAAGACTGTCGAACTGTGAGAGCTACTGTTTTTGTGTTAATATTCAATCAGATTTGCTGTAGTTAATAATTAACTCACAATTAAAAAATTGCAAGCAGTAGTTTCATATAAAATGTTTAATTCTTCAAGATTCTACCACAATTCGCTGTAGGAGTACATAGAATGTGCATGTATAATAAAAACCGCTTGATCAAGCGACTTTACTTTCATACCGTGAAGGCCAATAATTCGTTTACGTATTATTTTATTGATATATTCTTCACTTGCAATTTCATCAATTTTTTCGTTCTCTTTTTCTGAAAATTTTTCTGCATAAAATAATGCGGATTCAGTCAATGAATTTGTGATAATTCCAGTATTTACTCATTTACTAATCGTTATTACTAATTACTACTAATTACTTTAGTATTGTTACTACTAACTTACTAATTGCTTAAAAAATCTCACATCCTAACCAACATTTTCCTTGTTCCTTTAATTTAAAATATCCAGTTTCCCGGAGGCGGTGGAGCTGACGGTGGCAGCGGAGGAGTGGGTGCCACACATCGCGGTGCGGGAGGACCCGGTCAACGGTATCGTCATCTCGGGACCCATGGCCAACCTCCTCGATGCTTTGGCCAGAGCTATGAACTTCAAGTGAATTTAACATAACATAACATAGTGATCACGGCGCTGAAGTATAAGCCTGATGTGGCCTGTCGCAGATTCTTTTCATTTTCGTGCCTTGTTCACAGAAGATCTAAACTCGTGTCATTTGACCGTATCTTTTCATGACTGACGATAGTTTGAAGTAGCTACTAGACTTCCACCGGGTTCGATAAGGAAATTTACTTGTGTTATGCTGACGTTGGCACAGAAGTACACTAAAATATTAATTGCATGAAATAGTAAAATACAATAAATACTAAAATACTCATTGCAAGTTGTATTTATTCAAACAACTTGATAGTAAAGGTTATATATAATAGAGTTAAATTCGGAAAATTTCTGAGTTACGGAATTAAAAACACGGAATTTAATTCTTTTATCAAATTTAGTTTAAAAATTAGGAGAACGAGCGCTGACAGCGTTTAATAACAATTTTGAGTTTAAAATCAATTGATTTATTCATTATTATTTATGAAAAAGCACCCTAATCAATCAGGTATAAAATCGTAAGGCCAGCGGACGGCGCTTGGGGCATCCCTCGCCCGGACGGCAGCGGCGACTGGAATGGCATGATAGGGATGGTGAAGAGGAAGGTAAATCATTTCTATGTGTTTTGCTAAAACGTGGTAATTTTTGGTATCCAAACTATAAGTCAATATTAGATAAATAAAACCATCAGTTTATAGAAGCTGATACCTCCCGAGATAATTGTGATTTAACGAACATAAAACCCTTGCGATACTGTTACCCACAAATACAGTCAAAAACTATCAAATATTTTTATTTAAGCTACAATGCTGGAACAGAAACTATTTCTTATAAAAGAGACCTATTGAAAATATGTCGTTCATGATCAAATGCGCATGAACGCGTTATGAATGACATGAACGCGTTTCTAGAAACACGCGTTATGTTCACGTGTGTTCTAGAGACACGCGTTATGTTCACGTGTGTTCTAGAGACACGCGTTATGTTCACGTGTGTTCTAGAGACACGCGTTATGTTCACGTGTGTTCTAGATACACGCGTTATGTTCACGTGTGTTCAGGAAGCAGACTTGGCATTGGGTCCCTTCGGGTTGACGTTCTCACGCAGCAGGGTGGTATCCTTCACATCCCCCATCCTCATCGACTACTACAGGATCCTCGTCCGGAGACTCAAACCCCAACCTGACCCTTGGGGCTGGCGCAACCCGTTTACGTACGTTCTGAAAATAATTCCGATTCGACGTCAGGGCAATGTCGAAAAGTCTGTCAATCTGGTTTAAAAACTAGCGTTTTAAAATGTCTATAGAACGTTTCTATTAGAACCGCGCAAAAATTTTCTATTTGCTATTTATGCATATGCTGTATTTTACTAGTTTACATTGAAGAGGACAGGAACATTTTTAATAGGTGATGCAACATGATTAATTTTTTAGTTAAGCCAAGGAATACAAAAAAATTCTATTCTCTATCCATCGGTAGTATATAAGCAGATTAATTAATGCTTCTGTCGCATTGTTCATTTAATTAGATCTGAATTGTTTATTACTTTGCTTGGAAATATAATTCATTTCAGCTTGGGAGTGTGGATCAGCTTCGTCGTGAGTATGCTGGCGTTGGCTCTCGCACTGTGCGGCAACACGCGTCTTTTCGGCATCAGTCACGTCAACCACAACGAAACGCCTTGTAAAAGTTTAAGCTTCTCAGAGCATTGCTGGCTCTTGTTCGGAACTTCTCTTTCCCAGCGTGAGTACTCAGAACAATCTAATATGAACCATGCTAATTTTCTACTAATGGGATTTTAGAGAAATGTTAATGGAATAACGATTTCCATCGTGAAATTCGCTTAAATTTTGAATAGTAACTGACTCTTGTTAGGAAAATATAACGATTTTAGCCTCAGTGTTTAATTTATTGTTCAATGAGTTCAAGTCGGTATTGTCTCATACCCGATTCTTGCTTAAATAAATTCTCATGTATGAAATAATGATAAATTATCGTATTTAAATCCAATTCCATGCATTTCTTGTGTCTATTACCCTTCATCTTTATTCAGGCACGAATTGGATGCCCTTCAGTTTGGGAGGCCGATTTGTACTGGCCATTTGGTTACTCATCGCTTTGATAGCCACCCGTTCGTACAGTTCGTCACTGACGTCTCTACTGGCGGTTCGTACCATAGCTACACCATACAACTACCTCAAGGACCTGGTCAACGACCACCATGTCAAACTGGTGTTCGAGGCCGCGACGGCACTTGTCGAGCATATGTCGGTAAGACTAACATAACTATTGAAACAATTTATTTTATAGCCCGAATTCTTTCAATGTATTTATTTGATCCGATTCTATATTTTTGCTGGTCGTCCTAAAGCATTAAGAATAAACATAATATGTATGAAGGCATTCAAGTATGTATGAACGCTCCGAGTATGAACGCCTTCAAGAACAGACTAGACGAAGCTATGCAGGAACATATGTTCAGTCTTAAAATGCCTAGCAAATTACGGAACAGGCAATAAGTCCAGCAGCTATCTCAATCAATCGTCAGTTATGGAAAGATCGGGATCCTTCCTCCACGAAAAATTCAAGAATCGGCAACAGGCCATGGGCCTATTTCTTCAGTGCTGACACTTCTATTCTATTCTATTACTATCAATATATCAAGCTATTAATTCCAGACGGTCAAGACTGGAATCTACGCTGATCTTGCCAAGCAGTCGGACCGATCTCGCTTCGTGACGCCGCCGCAGCTTTACGAAGCAGCGTACTCAGACGTGAGGACCTCAGACACCGCCCTCCTGGTGGAGGACACAACCTGCAGGAAGGTCCTCTCAGACGATTTCACTAAGACTGGTATGAAAACTTTCGGGAAAATCACTAACTATTAGTGATAGATAGCGCACTAGTCAAACAGTCTTAATTGTGTGATGCCCGAATTAGAATTGAAATTTAGGTCATTATTTTACAGCTTTCTTTGTTTTGTAGGCTTTGAAACCTCCTTTGTAAATTCCACATAATCGATATAACTGTTAATATCATATTTTTGACTGATTTACTACCGATGCACATAATTTTGATATATAACCTAGATATAACATAGAATAGTACATATATATAATTTGAAACAAGAACCAACACCAGGGGCCACGGCTATAAACTAAAAAAACAGCGTTGGAACACATCCATGCGACAACATTTCTTCTCGCTTCGAGTCACCGACATGTGGAACAGCCTCCCTGAAAGCATCGTTGAAGCTCCGAGTATGAACATCTTCAAAAACAGACTAGACGAAGCTATGCAGGAGCATATGTTCAGTCTTAAAATGCCTAGCAAATTACGGAGCAGGCAATAAGTCCAGCAGCTATCTCAATCAATCGTCAGTTATGGAAAGATCGGGTTCCAAAGGCCAAATCCCTTGTGAATCAAGTCACGAAAAGTTCAAGAATCGGCAACAGGCCATGGGCCTATGTCTTCAACGCCGACACTTCTATTCTATTCTATTCTATATAGCATGATCTCTGGCAGGGCCGAGTTGATACTCAAGGTTTAACATGCCATTAAGCACAATGTACCACTCCATTAACGCCGGGTTAACATGCTGGTAGTACTAAAAATTTTCTCTAAAATGTATCTAACCTGCGTAAACCAATGCTGTACATTTTATTTTTTATTTTGCCATGACAGCCATCAAACATAACTCGGTTATCGGGTGTGGCGCTTTACGTTGGCATCGAATTCTCAGGATTGCGCCAAGTCGCACCACCTGCTCGTCCCTTTAATTGCAAAGTGACAGCAAGGAATGTTACATTATAGGCTGAATAATAATATAATAGGCTGCATACGAATGCTTTTACTCACTCGCCCTTCCTTCTGGTCAGGTCGTTGTGATTTTTACATCGGAAAGGAGCGGTACTGGCCTCTAATTTTCTGCATGATTGTCCGCAAAGATCATCCAATCATCGGCGCCATCAATGCACGGTGAAAATTTATTTTTAGCGCATTTTCTCATTTATGGAAAAAATGCACTATTGTGCTCACCATGTCCGTCCGTCTGTCTGTCTGTCCGTGACTTCGCGTTTTTGTCGACGAGAAAATACGCTCTCTGTCACTCACTGCAGTGAGTACTGAGTTATGTTTTTTATTACTTATTCGTGAATGAACTCAATAAAAAGTGAAATACCAGGTCACAGAAGCTTTGCTAAGCAATTAACTGTAGGATATCTTTTTGCTGAATATATTTCAATCCAGAAATAATAATTTCGATCATTTAGTGATTTTAGTCGTAAAGATATTCATCCACAAAATTGTCCATCACTTGTGCAGGTGTAACTGCTAACTCAATTAATATTTTACAAATATTAATATCTATGAGAAGCTTCATATTGACTGCAAGATAGCAACGTGTGCTATTCTCACGGTACAGACTGGAACGCTTCACCAGCCAGGACCTGTACATGAGGTGGCTGGGCGAACAGCTTCCCAACGTCACGGCCTGTAGTGCTGCTGCCAGCAAAGTTACTGTCCAGGAGCCATACAGTCTACGGGGACTTTGGGTTTGTGTTTCACGTGGTTTTGTCAAGTACAAGTAGATGAAGTAGTATTATGGATCGTATGGTTTTGTTTTAAGTATAAATAGTACTGTGGGTCTTATGGTTTTGTTTTGTTTGTTTGTTTTGTCCTTATCTTTTTTTTTTGTCCTTGAGTTTGTTTGCATCTGGCAGTGGTCGAGGACGCACGTAGTGTTTGCGGGTCCCAACTTTCTCACTTTTTACTATGCCGGTTTGACTTATCTCGCGAATTTTGTACCGAAACGATTTCAGTGAAAGGTTCAATGTTAGTGTAGTTCAATCAAAATTGTGCGAATAGTGAGAAAAACGGCTAGTACAAGTGTTTTATTCCCGACAAATTCTTATCGAACCCGGTGGAAGTCTAGTAGCTTCTTCAAACTATCGCCAGTCATGAAAAGATCCGGTCAAATGACACGAGTTTAGATTCTATGAACAAGGCACGAAATGGAAAAGAATCGGCGACAGGCCACATCAGGCCTACACTTCAGAGCCGACATCACTATGTTATGTTATGTTATGTTATCGATTACTCGGAGTAACATCTTTCGGAGAGAAAATTTAAGATACTTCAGAAGTCTTAATCTGCGCAAAAACTCCCAAAAACACGAAAAATCGCCTTTAAGAAAATTTTTTTACTAGGGTTATTATATTGATGGTGTGTGCAGGGAGTGTTCGTGCTACTGACGGTCGGTCTCGCCCTGTCATCGACGTGTCTCGCACTTGAAGTGATCATCGCGAAACGCTGGCCTCCAGTCTAGCACGTATCAAGTAATACCTTATAACAATCAATACCTTATCTCCCTTAATACCTTATCACAATTATTACCATGTTCTTAATTACAGCTCTTTTGTGACTACCCCGATAGGTTATGTACTCTAAATTTTCTTGCGCATGTACGAAATTCAAATTCACATGGAAGGATTGAAAACGACGTGCTTAAAACTGTGAAAAACTAAACATGTTACAACATTCCGAATCTGTTAGCGTACATGCTACCAGATATGACACGTATAATGTTAAAAATATAGCAAGAAAATGTTGTACGAGGTTATTGAATTGGAAAGGCAAAATTTATCTGCTAGCCATTATTGTACTTGAAGTAACAAAGTGTCGGCAATGAGGACAAGCAACGTCGAATGATACGGCATTCCAATAAATTTGTGCAAAGATTTTAAAAGAGGTTGGCACTGCGACAACTAATTGACTATTAAATTCATCAACTCCCGCATGAAGAATAAGGATTTAGAGCTACCAATAACAATTTGCAATTGAACCTTTGTTTCATTGACTCTCATTAGCCTTGCTGGACGACTAAGCGAGTCGAACTACGAAAATTGATGAGAGGTAAACGTGCGTACATACAACGTAGAGAAGCAGGATGAATGAAAAAGGCAAGTAAAATAATAAACTATTTATTTATTAAACAAACTGATAGCGCAAAAAACAATGCCACTAATCTTTGTCTGCAAAGCAATTGAAGATTCCACTCAAAAGAAATAATTCTGAACATAAGCCAAGTTCTCTTATATTTCGGTCAGCACACAGAACGCTTCACAAATAATGTGTAATCAGGAAACCAAGCAATAATAATCAACAACCGCACAAAAATTTCCAATTATCTACGAAAATGTATAGCTAATTATCTAAATAATTAAGTGTGAAGTCAACAAGCGAATGATAATTTCACCACAAATAAACAAAATTCTTCAACCCAATTTACAGAAATAAAAAGTAAACGCTATGCAAATAATACTTAATCGTAGCAGGTTATTTTTTGTATAACGAAATCAAGAATTTAAAAAGGAAAATCAAAGTGAAGTAAAATCTTTCAACCTCAGGCAGTCTCGATTGACACATAAACTTGAGACAAAATTATCAAGAACGCAAACTTGCACTCAAAAAAGCACCCCTATAAATCCTATTTAAACCGAGCACCAGTAACCAAAAGCACTCTCGCCGCGCATAAATATATAAGAATATTTGCAAAAAAAACCGTACAGTAAACAATGTCCTTTCCCCTGCATCTCTTATGTTATATAGGTCCTACGAACAACGCATAAAATTTCAACATCAAAATTTGGTTAATTTAAATGAATCAATTCCATTCTAAGTCTCAATTCCATAGATTACTTGGGCTGAGAACGAAAAAATGATCGTTCTCCCATTTCATTTCAAGTCTTAATTCCATCAATTACTAGGGCTGGGAACACAAAAATAAGTATGTTAGCAACTGAGAACGAACAAATGATCGTTCTCAGTTTTCGTTAGCATAAACGAAACCTGGAACCAATGCCAAAATAAAATCAGTTCTGTACAGGAACCTCATCGGTGCTACAATCCCACAGACACATCAGCACCTAGACAATTATTAGCTCATCGCCTCAAGCCGCTTCTCTTAATAATGCGCTGTAAATAAAATAAAATGTGACATTCGTCAAACATAAGAAAGGATGGACATCCATTAATTTCCAGTAGTTTAAGAGTCTGAATAATAAAATATAATAGAGTGAGAAAATTAGGGCAAAATCCTTTGAATGATTTAATAGTTTCGTGCAATGGCGTAACAAAAGCAGGTTCAAACATCCACACATTGACAGAAATTCCAACAAAATTTAGAACTTCGAAAAAAGCAAGCGTCTATAGCCAATTATTAGCAATCATTTCATCACAATAATCAATAACACACTTAATAGAAGCAGCAAATCATGAAACAAACACAGGAGCAGATACAGGAACGTTGCCTCAATTGGCAGGAAAATCATACCTCCGGTTATACAGATATAAATATAATCAAATAGCTATTTGTTCTCAGTATATTGTACAATAGAGTACATTACTAACGTATTTACACTAAATAATAGGTCAATTTGTGGGTTAAAGCCCTCATATTGAATCGCTGCAAAGCTTAAGTCCACACAAGTTTTGGTGGACTTAATTGTAATCCTAAATCACCTTAACATTCTTTTCCATATTCCATTCAAATCTGAATAGAAAATCTTGGTATAATGAACCGTACAAAAGACATCACTTAAAGGAAAACTCCTACCATAGAGATTGGACCAGGCAAGAAATGTGTTGCTGACCGAGCATGGAACAGAGCTACAATAACCGAGTCAATCGCTGTAAAAATGATGTCAAGAAAGGATATCCATGAAGTTGTATGGGATATGAATGTTGACATTAAAATAAGATCAAAATAAAAAATTAACTGTCAGGCTCGTCGATGGTCTGGATATATGCTTTCGATGTTGAAGCAAAATATTTACGTCTAGAAACCTTAATTTAAAATGTTGACTCACTTGTTGCTCTCGACCAAATCTGGAAAAAAATAAATGTACTCGCAACTTGGTACTGAACATGAGCACTTCGAAATTAACAAATTAAAACGAAAAATTAGCTATGCAATCATTATAACAGAATTCTATAGGAATTTAGGAAATGAAGTAATACGATAGACATGACGATACCGCGCAGAAGGGGACCGTCTAAACAGTCTTACGGAATATATAAAGACCTCAAGGCATCCCCCTCTCAGCCGCAAGATTGTACCTTCTGATGAGGACGAGGCTTAGGTCTATGAACGAAATTCAATCTTCGGGACCAAGCCACTACTAGAACAAAAGAAATTTCTTTTCACACGAAAAGCAACAAAGCTGCACAATTTGTACAGAAAAAGCCGAAATAAATAACCGAAACCATTAACCCAACAACCGAAAATCGTATAACTATTGGATACAAAAACGTGCTCCAGCAATCCCATGTGATTCAGAAGCTGCCAATGAAGGCAGCTGATAACTTCAAACATCAACGATATAATTAATGTACTGCTGTAGTACGACGTTCAATTATTAGGAGTTCATGACGACGAGAAGGAGAATTGTTTGAACCAATAAACTACTTAATCAACAGATTAAATCATAAAAATCCATTGGAATTACAGAGTTAATCATAGATTAATCTGCTTATAATGTATGGACATGAAATTATTTTAATAATCATTTTCATAATTAAATCAATGACTAATGACTTTTTAAAATTTGCTTAACATATCAGCATTCAATTTGAAATTAACAGTAACCTCTCAGAAAATTGAAGACTGCTCGTCAAAAAAAAAAAATGACATCCTACTTTGGCCCCTTTAGGAAAATGAATTTTTTCCTTAGAGCGCTCACGAATTTACGACATTAGGTGGAAAATATGGCAGCTTCCGCAGGCTTCAATCAACTGAAGAAGCATCAGCCACGAGCAAGCCAGCAGCATGAAAATAAATTGATGGGCTCCAGTAACGCAACCATAAAATCATGAATAATCCATTAAAAGAAATGCTACAAAGAAACTAATTTTACGTAGGTATGTCAGACCGCAAAAAAAATAACGCTAGGTATTACCAGGGAGCTGGTAGATCACGCATAGACTACAAACAATCGTGTTACACACAATAGTGCGAGTCCATTAATACTTTACATTCAAACGAACCAAAGAACCAAGTGCAAACAGGCTACTCTTTCGAAAACTGTTAAATGAATTCAAAATGGTAAATAAATTTGAATAAGTGAAATCAAGACACTCGCAATCACAGCTTAACTCTTCAAGCTAAAATCCGTGAAGGAATCTCCTTTTCATTAAAGAGAAACATAGCCTTAAATTAAGGTAACAGCCAACAACTTTTTATGTCTCCGTTTAAACCGATGGTCACTCTAATGGGTAATTGAAATACCAAGCTAATTTGTGTACGTAATCAGACATCTCAAATGTTTGAAGAAATCAAGAAAAATAGAGTTCACTGGCGCACCAGCAGCAGTCACAGTAAAAGATATTTTCTCAGGGTGCGTCTCAACAATTGTAGAAAGACATCCATCCTATTACATAGAAGGCCTGGTGTGAAGGAATTCAATGCAAACGGGAAAACGAATAGAATTAAATTGAGGAAATCTTCAAAAAAAAAAGCTTAGAGATTTTAACCTCAGCAGAAATATATTGTAATAGTTCTCAATCAGGACCTCTTTGTTCATTACGTTGGAAAAATGTTCAATTTTGTACAGCAAAACAAACCAAACGCCAGATTCCGAGGCGGATTTTGCTCGAAGGGCAGAAAGAAGTAGTAACTTGGGAATACGGCGCTCAGAACATGTGCTTCTTGCTACGAATTTTGTTGATAAGGTTGCAAATCTTGAGGGCGGGACCAAGCTTAAGCCCCATGTACTTCATCATCATGTCGCTGTTGAGAAGAAGCAGCGCCTTCCCATCAATTTCCTGTAAAATACAGCAGCGTTACAAGGAAATCAGTTGAAAGTAACATGTACTTAAATCTCAAAATCAAACAATCTTAATCAATCAATCAAAATTCGTTAGTTAAGCTATCAATAGAAACACTAAGGCTTGCTGGTGAAATGTTTTGCGAATGACTCCTGCCAAGCCTAACACTGAAGCCAATTAAAAGAAAGTCCAGCTCAAATATATACGTGTAACTCAATTCATCTCATAGTTAGACAATAAATGTTGTTCCATTAGAAACTTAGAACATAATACATAACCCAAGTATATCATACATGTTTTCTGAAGAGGTCGGCATGGCAGGCCAGCTGGGGACTGACGGCAGCGATGTAGGAAATGACGTCTTCGACTGTCCACTCGACGGGATCACCACACGGTCGCACGTCGCAGCCCTCACTGTCCGACGTGCTCTCTGGAGAACCAAAACTTCAGTAAATACCAGATTGACACAATGGAATGAATTTAAGCATTATTTAAGAACTCAATCAGTTGGAATGCAATGAATTTAAGCATTATTTAAGAACTCAATCAGTTTGAATGGGATGAATTTAAGCATTATTGAAGAACTCAATCAGTTTGAATGCAATAATACGCAAATAGACAGTTCACTATACAAATTTCAAGTATAGCATTCCCTTTTTGTTATTTATGCTAAAAAAAAAACACAAATAACGTACTGAGAGAGAAAAATAAGTATAGTGAATCAGTTATAAAATTACTATAAAGGTCTAATCATAGCACTTCGAAATGCCGTGAACTAGTTATAATTCACCGATGTGAATGAATTTGTAAATGATTTGGGAGTTACCAGTGCGACTTTTCTTAGCAGTTTGTCTGCCAGGAGACGCGTCAGGCTGGTCGAGTGAGCTCGAGCGCTTGCTGTTGCCTGAGTTAGCAGCTGGCAGCGGCTGAGCGCCTTGGTCTTGTAGCGGGTCTGCTGCTGCTGCTGCTGTTTGTTGCTGCCCGCGACCTTCACACTCTGTAGCAAAAGAGAAAAACTTGCTAGTTATTTTGATCATTTTAATTTTCAACAGTTTTAATTTTAGTGTATTCACATAAAAGTGAGTTCAGTGTAGAGATATTTCGTTGAATCTGGGATTCGGTACGTGCATCAATAATTGAATGTTAGTTCCTTTAAAATAGACGAGGTATGACGATGGAAGGTGGTCAGATTCAGCAATTATGTTGGCACTTGAATGTTTAACATTTTTAAACTTTTACATGTTCAATTAATTTTTGGTTGCAATTACTTTACCCACAATTAAATGAGACTTTACTAATTGTTCCAAAATTGAAACACTTATGCGAATCACAATGCCTCGAAATTTTAATGGATTTGTTGGGCATAAATAAAAATAGGAGTTTCAAGTAAATTATTTGATTTTTTGTGACTTATCTGTTCAGGAAATGAACAATTAATGAAAGTCCAGCTCTTGATAATCAAACTTGACGATCTATATACTGATATAAGTAAATCATGAATCATATATCAACAAATTACTAATACGGATTACTGGACCTATGTCATAAATAAATTTCAGCTGACAGAACTGAGGCCCGAGAATTTTACCCGATATTGGCAGACAGACGGCATATGTAACAGCGAATTGAAACAAGTAACTTGGAAGGCTCGGTAAGACTAACCCTGCGTTAGATGCTGAGGTGGCGACCGAGCGCACTTGGCGCAGTGCTGCTGTGCGCGCTCCTGCTGAGCGAAGAAGCTCTCGCAGCACAGCAGCTCCTCGAACAGAGCCTCCAGCAGCTGCCATAGCGCCACCTCGCTCTCCACCGCCGGCAGCCGCTGGGTTTTGCTGCTGCTTTCACCGCTTTCAGTCACTGTACACACATAAATATATAGGTGTTTCTTTACATACATATTTATATACACATGCATACAAATTTTTAATTTCTTACACTCGCTTACCAAATCATTGGCAGGTGGCCCATTTATGGAGTTTAGCCAATCCAACAATTCAAGGGCCTTCATTTTGAGGTCTGATGGAAAATGTTTTTGAAGAGATTTCGGTTTCCTTGTGAGTTGATAGGCTAAAATTACAGCTGATCATGAGTATTTTTTTAGACAATCTAAAAGTAAACAGAATATTCAACAAAATTTCACACTTGTAATTCCTAAAAAGTAAACGACATTCAATAAGAATTAGCCATAGTATGAAGGGTTAGAGATCAATCATTTCAATAAAAAAGAGATGAGTTATAAATAAATATTGAAAACAACCCATATATCTATGTCTCTCCACCAAAAAAAGTTGCACGCATCAAGACCAGTAACGACCAATGAAATCACAATTACTGACTCACAACACGGAAAAAATAAATACTGTTCAGCCTAATCAATAGCAGAACACTTAAATTCATTTAGAAATAATTTAGTCCAATCTGGTTCATGACGTGATCCTCATTAATGATACGTTACGATTACTAATTCAGAACAATTCGAATTTAAGAAGGCAAAAAAAGAAAATTAAAACTGTTGAAAAAAGAGAATTAAAACTGTTTTTAAAGTTATCATTAATGCTAATCGTAAGATACCGTACTATTGTCCTGACCCTGTATGATGACTTTGCCGCTTCCCTGAGGCAACATGGCTGCCACCACAGCGGGGTTGTAAGCGCAGTCTACGAGCGCCTGCACGGCCTCCCTGAGCACGCGGTTGAGGCTGCCGGGACCGAAGCGCACCGGCATCTCCAGCACCCGCGCCGGTGACAGGTACGGTCCAGGGCTGCACCCGTGGTTCACGTGGACACAAACTGAAACAAGCATTATGATCAGCATTTTTAAGATCAGCATGCTAAGATCAGAATGCCTAGAGGCAATGTGAATACATTCCAACGAATTCTTTGACTCCGATCAACAATGAAAAGGGTGTAATAAATGAGCGAGCTAGAGTATTTTAGAAATTATGTTCATGCAAGAATCTATTAATGGATTTATTTTGATGTGGAATTCAAACGAGTGTATATGTTGTCCGGCTAGTGGCGACCGAAGGGAGTACTGTCAATTCAATGCCAATGTAAAAAAAAATTGTAAAAATTAAAAATTAGATAAAAACATGCTTATCGTGTTTTAAACAAAAATCGGGATTTAGGTAACATTTTTGCTGGAAGTTGGCAACATTAGAGGTATAAGTATGCACTTTTCTCACGTATAAAAACTAACAACAATCATGTTCTTAAATATGTTCATCTAATCATCTATCTAATCATATGTTCATCTAATCATGTTCTTAAATAAAAAGCATGGAAAGTTTTTACACTTACCAGATGCTGAGAGCTTAGCGACGGTGGACGTGTCAGGCTCCGTAACGACGATGTTAGGAGACTTGGGACCAGAGGTAGTGACGGAACTGGCGGACAGTTGAGACCGTTTATTGTGTGGTTCAGTGGGAGACTTGGATGGTTTAGGTGACTGGGCAGGCTGGACAACTTTCTGTTTCTGAGTAGCTTTTATTTCATTAGCTTCTCCGGCTACTAGGTTGTCTTCGTCAGCCGTTTTCTGAGAAGTCTTACTTAGCGTCGACGGTCGTTTCTCAGCGATGCTGTTGTTATTATTAGGCTTGTTTTTATTGTAGATGGGCATTATTGATACAGTATTGCCGCTTCTTGATGGCGATGTTAATGGTGAGGAAGACTGGTTAGAGACACCAGTGCCATTACTGCTTACACTATTAGTATTAATATTACTATTACTGCTAGAACTGGAGTGACTAGAGCTCGTGATCTTCAGAGAGCCTGAAATTTTTGAGGGAGAGGTTTTGGATAGAGTAACTTTACATTTGGTAGTAATATTAGGATTGCTTCTTTGCTTGAGAGGGGAGGGTGCGCCGTCTTCCATATCAGAAGATTCAAACTCATATTGATCTTTAATTGAGATAGAGACATCTTTAGACGAAGACGAGGATAGCTTGGAGATTACTCGAGAAGATGAAGAGCTACTGTTGGTTGTGGTTCTTGTCTCGGCTGATGGTATTTTGTCCGGGTCTTTCTTGAGTGATCCTTCATGTACCGCACTCCTCAGGCTCTTACCACAAGCGTCTGGATTAGGACTTGGGTCAGGTTTTTCAGTGAGAGCACTTGACTTTTTGGAGTTTTTCTCTCCACTGCCTCCTCCTGCAGTGGAATTTCCATTTTCAACAGCTTTGGAAGAAACAGATTCTCCTCGTGTTGTGGTGCTTGACACGGTAGGTGCCGAGCTCAGTTTCCCAATTATGTTGGTAGAAGCAGCGTTGACTTTACCACCAGCACCAGACGAGTTGGCTTCGCGACGTGTGGGCGATGACGTGTTTGATGCTGGAATGTTGAGCACTCGTGCCTTGTATCGGCTGTTGGGAGGACCCCCTGAGAAAAAGAATCATATGATGCTCCTTGTGAACAAAACGCTTTCCCAAATGAAAGTTATTGGTTAACTCTCGTGACCTTCCATGACATGAAATTAAGATAAATTTGATGATTATCTATGTGAAGGTGCTTAACAGGCACTCAAAACATCAACAATGACATCCCAAATTTCAATTCGCATTTACTTGACTGGTATATTTTTACAACTAAATAACACTGGTACTATTTACCAGGTATTTTATTAAAGGTATATACTATTACACATCTCACACTATCAAAATATCAACAACATAGGCTCAAATGAAATAAATATTAATAAATAATAGTTTGCGCGCAGAACAGTGACAATCATAATTGGCAAAAGGCTAAACAAAACTACCTTTGTTTGGAACTGTTTATTCCTCTTTGCCAAACTGATGAATTGCAACAATGACAAATATTAATGGAATGTAAATAAATGCTTGATAATACCGTCAACTCGTATGACTAAAAAACAAACTTGAGCGCCTTATTATAGACACTACCATTAATAATGGTAACTGCAGAGTACACTTACACATCTGGCCTGGGGGCTGGAGAGGATGCCCAGACAGAGCACACCAGCCTGGAGGGAAAATGTCTCGGGAATCAAAGCGACACCAGTAGTCGAAAGCACCTCGCCAGCCGTCAAATGTTACGTGGATCATATCACCATCAACAGCACCTGTTGGTTTTATGAGGACATTTTATTTTGACAAAAATCATAACAATTCATTGAATTAAAAATAATTTCTTGATCACAAAATCGAGGTCTACACTGATTGAAACCCAAAATAAATTTATCCTGCAACAGGAAAATAACTCGGTGAACAAAATGGGGAGCTTAGTAAAAAAATTCTAAGCCCAAGTCTAATAAATCTGCCATAAATAATAGCTACTGGACTCCGGGTATTAATTTTACCTATAAATTTATTTACTTAATCTATTTTTATACATACTCAAATAGTTTTAAAACGGGTGGTCTTAATTTCTAATTTGGAAGCAAAGGTTCCAGTTAAATACTTCGTTGGGCACTGCTTTTAACCCACCAACAGTTGCAGCACAAATGAGCTGTGGGTTTTTCTTGTCAACGGCTTCTAGTTTCATGCCAGGTTCGAAGTGATTGCGGGACGGGGTTGGGGGCTCATCTTTAAAGATATCAGGAGGCGACACCTCGGCGTTGTGGAGCGTCTTCAGCAAGAACATGGGCCAGGATGACGCATTCATACGAAATCCTGTAACATGAAAACTACTTGAAAAATCTTTATATCCAGACAGGAAACACATGAAGTAGTAGAAAACTTTGGATATATAATGTGACATCAGTGCCAAATATAATTTCAGTTTCTAGTTGAAAAATTCTTTATTCACATATACAATGAACGATGGGGCTTTTGAATTCATGTTTTTCAATCACTCTTGCAAACAATTTTATTAGAGTGTATCACTCTTATAAAAAAATTATAACTTCACATGGCATAACTCTATTTTGTAACTGAATGCCGCATATATAAAACGTTTTGTACACTTGAAATCAGCATGTTGGAAATTATTTTCTTTGACCAAAATCATAAAATGCATCATCTAAACATCCCACCTAAAGGTGGCTGTAACATGCCACCATTTTCTTCACAATGCCCTATGGGGTGAATTTCGTTGTTGCAGTCAACCAGCCTCCAGAAGTCATTCTTGTTATCGGAGCCATCAAGACGCAGACGGAGCCGCGGCCCTAGCGTGCCCACCACCGTGGCGATGCATGTCGACGTCACGTTACGAGGGTCCAGCGCCTCGAGCTTCATGTTCACCACGAACTCGTTCTTTGGCGGCGTGCGGTGCTGAGGACCATGCAAATTGTACAGTATGTCATGAACATTATTATAATGGTGTCTAGTGTCTACTATTGCAGACTGACAATAATGTGTCTGAAATACTAGATATACGTAAGTTTATGTATGTCTTAATACTTAAAGAGAAATGTGCAGTGAAATAAGTAAAGATATCCAAAATAGAAGTACTGTACTAGTAATGCTTTGTTTTCCAAGCTGCCCCGTTTATGCTACGAATATGAAGGTAAATTTCTTTGTATCCTAGTGTGGAAAAATGTTAGGAATATCAAGATTTTAACACAAGTGTAATCTAAAGTTTCAACAAGCAAGGGCAGAAAAGCCTGGGGCATAAGTAAAGATAAAAATTTCCTATGTGCACAGAAGTTTGGTACCTGTTTAAAACATTTAGGAGGAGCAGCAACAGCGTTTTCCTCCTGCAGATAATCAGGCCAGTTGAACTCTGCGGCAGCCTCTATCATAGCAAGAGCAGCTGCTGATAGTCCACGTCCTGTCAAAATAAGCTTATTAATAACTAGTATCATATTCACAATACATTCGTGAAGAATAATGTACTAACAAAATAAGTAAAAAATAGAGGCAGTGTGTGCATGTTTTGTATAAATATGTATGCAAGATAACAAACCACAACTCACACATCAACTAAATTCATGAATAATTAACACCAAGTTCAACAATTAATTGCTCTATTTTAAAATTTATTATGAATATGAGAGCACAGCAAAAGTAATTGCAATTGAAAAAACGAAATACATCATACAATTTTTAAGTAATTATTGGGAGTCTAGTTAGGTTACGTTTTAAGCTCGGCCTCCATGTATTTCACTAGCTCTAAACATGATATTACATAATCCCTCATTCCAACTTCAATATTTAATAAACTTCAATATTCTATCCCTCAATTTTCCATTAAGCTTAGTGGTAATAATACAGGTGACAGCCTCGCAGCCTATACTGGGCAGTGGGCATTCAGTTGCACTCAAAGGAGCTCGTGTTCAATTAGGTACAGTAAGTTCAGTTTTGCTGGAAATCACAACAATGTTTGATGATTTAGCTCGTGATTTACATGCCCTGTAAAGAAGTGTATTTTTGACTTATACTTGTAAATGCATTTACTTTCCAATTATTATCTTCAGGTTGTCTATTTACTGAGTGTGATTGTTTGATTGAATAGCAATCCATTTATTTTTTAGTTCACTCTTCCATATGCAATAAGTTTCAACCACTTAACCTCTACTAAATTCCGCTTCATTTTACCATGTTACCTTGAAAATTATGTTTCAATTTGTCTCTTCCCATAGCTCAAATCTATAATTAATTAATCTATCTATCTATAATTAATTAATTAATTAATCAATTAATATAATCTATAAGTAAAGTTCCAGTGTTAGACTACAGTTGCCTGCAGTTTAATGGAACTTGCAGGTCATGAACGTTTAACATCCCATCCTTCCCCATGGATAATTAATGCTTAAAATAATATGAATTTGAATCAATTATTTGACAAATTTGAGCTACACTACTATATTTATACTCTTCACCGTCCATGTAACAAAAAGCCTCCACTAGGTATATTTTCTCTTTAAATTCACAGTTGCATAATTTAAATTATTAGCAACCTTACAACTTCCACTCAAAGGGTTGTTGCTAAACCAAGTTGATATGTAACATTGACTTGGGTAACAAGTTAACCTTGTTTGTGGCATAAAATCCTTGCTCAGCCTCAAAGATATAAACTAAAGGAATATTCACCTCGTTTAGATGTGTGTAGCTCAGCAACACTGAGACCTTGTAAAGTCTGTGCTCCGTTTGTGGGTGAAGTGAGACCAAAACTAGAATCTGAGGCATCACCAGTGCTGTGAGAGCCCGCCTCCTCAAGTAAAACCTTGTCTTTTGATGAACTTCTTGTTGCTGAATCAGCATCTGTGTTGGGAGTTTCCACCTTTTCACCATTTTTCTGTCCATCTTCCCAGGCTTTCTGACACTCTTCACTGCATGCATTCAGCCGTTTGTTTACAGCTGCAATGAGAGATGTGACCCTGGGTGCAGCTGCTGAACCTTCGTCCAGCCCTCCATCAGCTGACCCATCCAACTCAGTTTCCGATACACATTTGAAAACCGTATCACGGATCACATTGTCGCAGTGAACACATAATCCATGCTGTAGAGAAGGGTGACAATAATTGGAATGAAATAGCAAGAGGATTCAAAAGAGAATCATGATCAAAGAACATTATCAACTAATGGTAAATTGATGCTTTATTTTGATGTTGTTTTGTGATCGAGAATAATTGCAAAAAATGCAGTGATTAACACAACAAAATTTAAGAAAATAGGGACACTAAATGGTTCTTGATTAATAGAATAACATGAAAGGTATCACAGTTGCAAGTTGTTTTTGTTTGGCTTAATGCTAGGAACAGCAAGTTATAAGGATATATACACAACAAGTTTTGCTTAATCACCAAATCTTGTTCTTATCAGTACAATTTTCTACTCAAGTCACACATGATAATGAAGAAACTCACTTTCAACAAGGCTTTTCGGAATTCTGATAGGCACATCTCAGAGCAGAACTCCTTCTTAGTGTTAGGTGTGGGGAAAACATATTTGAGCTGAGGCCGGAGTTCAGCACACCAGGTGCAAGCTCGGGGCAACTTAGGCGGGCGACCTGAGGATTAAAATGGACTCATGAGTTAAGAGGTAGTTATTAGAAACACATAGATGCATTGCAACAATTAACCGAGATAACATAGTTGAAATAGTCTAGAAATGTAAAATTTTTCAACCAATGATGGTATGCTTCAGTAGCTAATGAATTTAATAGCTAAGATTCAGAAGCAAATGTGCAAAATTAAGTAAATACTAAATCAGAAACTATTATCTATTAAAATAGTTTCAAAATGTGCAACATTTGTTACATAAAGTACAAAGAAGTGAAGAATAGAGATGTCAGTCATGCTAAGTCTCAAAGTTTAATACATATTTAACTTGTGCTTATTTTTACATGAATATGTTCGTACCTCTCGCATTAGCTGGCATTTTGTGAACAGGACCTTCATAGGAATGATTTGCTACACAGTTCTGCAAAGAAGAATCATTATTTAATCATTATCCACATTGCATGGCTTGAATAAAACTAAAATAACTTGAACTTGAATCTATAATATACATAATTCAAGTTTAGGAATTACTGAAAAAATCTCAGACTGCTCAGTTTACTGATTGACCTCAATGAATAATTCAAATGTCCCTTATACAGGGTGTGTACCAGTCATGGAAAACCTGGAAACAATGTGATGAGTATATGCATCACATTGTTTTGTTGTATACCCATCACATCATTGTTTAGAGATTTTCCATGACCAGTATGCACCCTGCTTATATACAAGTGCTTACATCATTCAGCCTCATGTGGGCCTAATGATAATCTTAATAATAGATTTGGCTCATCACATATAGATAGATCTCTTGCTACTTAGCCTGTAACTAAATGAATCTTCTTTATGCCTCTGCCAATTGCCAAAGATCTGACTATTGTTCCCTACATAGAATCACTTGCTACCATGCCCAAAAATTAAATTAACGCATTTAACTGAAAGTTTAAACATAGACAACAAAAGTAATGCTGTTATCTAATCTTTGAAAATGATAGAAGTAGCAAAACCTAAATTACTACAGTATATAGAAGTTATTCTTTACATTTGTGTGCTTCAATTAGAATTCCATAAAAGAATTTCAGCATAGAAAATGAACAAATTTACACTTTCAAAACTCAAGTAAACATTACTTAACAAGTTTATAATGTTACTCCAGTGTTTTGTGAGACTTAGTTGTGTCCTCTAAGGCTCTATGCATTAAATTGCTCTTTTCCATGTGCATGCTTTGAATATTTTTATGGTTTATATAATTAGATTGAGATGCAAAATAGCAATTTTCAAAATATGTGACTGTGAAGCCATACTTTTTAGGAAGAATATATGCTCAAATTTTAATCTTTGTCTGGTGGAAATCTTGAATCTATAGCAAAATATCTCCTGTTGCAGCTGTAAGTGGAAAATTGGGCAAAAGCTAACTGAGAACTGTAAAATGAGTTAACTTTGACTACTTTTTTTCAAAATGATGCCATTTTTTTCCTAGATAAGTTAAACTTAAATTGAAACATGCAAAATACAGGTCTATACTCTAGCTTTACTCACCATAAATTGCTAGCTCCTGTCTCTCATAGTTTTGATGTAATTTCAAAAAAAGTGATGGTCTTTGTTACCCCAGCTCTTGGGGTTTCTTTGACTGGATGGTAAAATCAATTTCATTTTTTGGTAAAATGACTCCAAATAACTCCAGGTTTTGGTGCATTGTAGTAGAACTCTTCTAGTTACATATGCAAATGAAAAATTTTAGGAAAGTGTCATAGTTTGCAAATTGGGGGCGCCGCCCTCCAATTAGGTATGTGAAATGTGACCACCTAATTGCAGCCGTGATGGGGTAACATTGACCGGTTTGGAAATTAAGTTAAAATTACCATATATAAGACTGTAGAGTCTGAAACGTAAAGAAAAAACATTAATAGGTTCAAACATAAAATATGTTATATAGGTACCGGTACCTATGGTAATTTTAACTTAATTTCCAAGCCAGTCAATGTTACCCCATCATGGCTGCCATTAGGTGGTCAAAGTTCCCCCATTGGGGGGTGGTGCCCCCCCCCCCCCATTTGCAAACTATGACACTTTCCTAAAATTTGTCATTTGCATATGTAACTAGAAGAGTTCTACTACAATGCATCAAAACCCCGAGTTATTTTACCAAAAAATAAAAAAAATTGGAGTGGGTACTTTGGCTTTAAATAATAGCTCTTTTTTGTGGGTCACATTTTTAATTTTTTAACCTATTAGATATGCAAACTTTTTAAATCTTTCTATAGTGTTACATAGCCTAAGTATTAGGCCTTTAATGGCCATTGACAAAATTTGTCTACGTCAAATAGTTTTTGAGTTTTGAGGGTTTTTGTCAAAAAAAAACGAAAAGTGGTCAAAGTTTCCTTGGGAGTCAGAGTAACCCCATTTTACGGAATATGATAAAAACGCTTCTGAATCTGGCCAATTTTATCCATTCCATGGCCTTTTTTCAATTAAGGGGACCGGCTACCCTCCGGAAAAACTTCTACAGTTATTATCCGATCATCATGAAACTTCACATACATACCGTACGTAAAATGTAAAAAAATAACATTCTGCTCCTATAAATTTCTTGAAAAAATTGATAGAAAATGTGAAATTCATAGAAAACGGCTAAAAAGGGGTACTTTAGAAAATCTATCTCCTCCTACAAATATCATCCTACAACATTCCATATAAAAAACAAACCAGACAGAAATTCAAAAAAGTGATGTTCAAATCGATAGGTATGGTCTTTGCGAGTCGAATGGTATGTGTCTCATTGCTGTAGCTTGAAAACTGTAGGAGGAGATAGGTTTGCCGTGAGACTAATCGGAGGTTTTCACCACGCCTGAAAAACATAAAATGACGCAAAAGAGTCGTAACGTAGCCAACATACCGAAACTAAGCCTTAAAACTAAGTGAGGAAGGCATAGAGCGAGTGGCTGCACACCTTTCACCTCGCTGTCATGATGGGCACTGAAAGATCTGGCTGCATCTGGCAGTATATCAAGTCACGCCCTGTAATTAATGCCTTAGGAATTTGTTAAGGCCGCCCCCCACTGCCCCCCGTTCCATGGGGCGTGGTGAACGTAAAAATGGAGGTAGAAAAATGATTCTGCTACCAATGGAATCATCAGAAAGTAAGCTTTAAGATGAGTATGAGCAACGGATAATGCCATGATTGGCCGCTTTACGTCAGACGTTCCTTTTTAGTGTGTCCACCCTTCTCATTAATCCCATAGGTTTTACTGAAGGGCTCTAAAAACTCCCTCCCTTCGGGGGGCTGTTACGAAATTTTTCGACGTAGAGGGATGATTCTGGTACCGTTGGATGCGTCAAAAAGTAAGCTTTAAGATGAGCACAAAAACCGGAAAACGCCAAAATTTAAAATTTTAGGGTAGCCGATCCCCTTAATTCAGTGAAAAAAAAGAAGGGCTATTTCCACCCACAATTTTCTGAAAATCACCCATTAAACAAAAAATTTAGACCACAATTTTAGAAAACTTCTGCCTATATTTCATGTCTTGTTAGGAAAATTCTTACTTTTTTCATAAATATTACAGCTCTAATGAAATGTATTTTAATTTGATTAAAAAAATCAAGGTACACAGATGTATCATTTCATAAAATTTTCAAATTTTGCAGTTCAGTACCATGCTACCACCAAAATATCCTGCATAATTAGTAAACCCAACATGTCTCGTTGGCATCGCATAGTTGCGGTCACATCTGACAGCATTATAATTTAATCATTTCTTAAATGACAATATAAATAATACATTATCATGTGTTCAATTGCCTCTAAAGTGAAGATAAATGTTTTTGTTGCTGTTTCTATGATTAATTTACAGATTTGGAATAACATGTCCATGGGACTTTGCAAACAAGCTTATGGCTCATAAATGGCTTTTTATGACCTGAATATGGTATTTACAGCTCAAAAAAATTCAATCACCCTTGCAAATCAATGAAATTAAAGCTAAAAAACCCAGTAGCCATCCAAGGGGTAGATCATTGGGCATGGGTCACATTGATCGTAAAATGCATGCATCCGTGTCAAATGACAATCATGCCACATCATTTGCAAACCATGAGATTAGAATTGATCATTGGGCATCGGCCACATTGATCATAAAATACGTGCATCCATGTCATTCATGCCACATCATTTGCAAATCATGAGTGTCAGAATCGATCATTAGGCATCGGCCACATCAATCATAAATTGTGTGCATCCCTGTCAATCATGCTGTATCGTTTGCAAAGCGAGGGCCTCAGGCAAATTGATTGTAAAATGCATGCATCCATGTCAATCATGATGCATCATTTGTGAAGTGTGAGCATCAGAATTGATCATTGGCCATCGGTTACATTGATCGTAAATGCGTGCATCCGTGTCAATCATGCCGCATCATTTGCAAATCGTGAGCATCGGAATCAATCATTAGGCATCTGCCACTTGATTGTAAAATGCATGCATCCCTGTCAATCCTCATGAATCATGCTGCATTGTTCACAAAGCAAGAGCGTCGGCCACATCGATTGTAAAATGCATGCATCCATGTTGATCAAGCCGCATCGTTTGCAAAGCGTGAGCATCAGAATTCATCATTGGGCATCAGCATAGTGGCAAAGCAGAGAGTCTTTAGACTCTACCTCAAGTTCATTTTTGAGCCTTATAAGTAGACTGTCAAACCAGAGCTTCTTTAGAATCAGTTCATTTTTAATTTCCTCAATTACTCAAGATTTAAACCAATTTCTTAAGCATGATAATGCTGGTACCGCCCGTACCGGTATCCATGATACTTAACTGGTCTACTTAAAGGACTCAAAAATTAACTTGAGGAGAGTCTAAAAAACTCTCTGCTTTGACACTATTAGTAGACAAGTAAAGTATCTTGGATTCCAGCATTATCATACATAAGAAATTGGTTTAAATCTTAGGTAAATGAGGAAATTAAAAATGAACTGGTCCTAAAAAATCTCTGGTTTGTCACTATGGGCATCAGCCACATCAATCATAAAATGCATGCATCTATGTCAATCAATAGACAATCATGCTGCATTGTTCACAAATCGTGATTCGTGAGTATTGGAATCAATCATTGGGCATCGGCCACATTGATTGTTAAATGCGTATATCCATGTCAATATCGCAGCATTGTTTGCAAAGTGTGAGCGTCGGCCATGTCAATAGTAAAATTCATGCATCCATGTCAAATTGTCAATCATTGATCGTAAAGCACAGGCGATCATGTCAATCATTGAGCATTCATGTCAATCGTTTGCGGTTCGTGCAAGTGCACATCATTGTTAGTCATTAGGCTTTGACCAAATTGATCGTAGAGCGCGCGTTTCAGTATGACAGTCATAGTGACAAACCACAGATTTTTTAGAATCAGTTCATTTATAATTTCCTCATTT